GATTGTGAATGAAATTTTCAGAAAGTAGCTTTTTTTTTTTTTTTGTGAACATGAAACTTGTTTATTTACACATTTACATCTGACATTTATTTAACTTTCTATTTTAGTCTGATCAGGAAATCATACAGTCTAAGCATAAAATGGCAGGCATGACAGATTTTGCGTCAGATGTATAGCGAAGCGTTGATCTCTAAGGATATTTGGGGATTTTGATGTGTTGTGACGCACACAGGCGCATGTGTGAATAATATCACACCCCTCTGGTTTATCATATGCCAGGCTATTGTGTGTGGAGAGACGGGCTACAGACTCGCAGAAAGGCCTGTAATGTGAGCTACACATCTCACATAATCACCGCCATAAACAAACTATATGACATTTCTGAATCTTTGAATCTGTTACAATTAAATAGTTTTTTGGTCATTGCTGTTTTTAATTTTTATTTCGCACAGGTGTGTCACTGCTATTGTTCTGTAATAACCAGCAATGTAATTTTGTCACACTACACAACAAAATAGCTTGTTACTGAAAAATTACTGTCATGTTACTGAAAAATTAATTCTACCGAGTTAGCAGCTTTGCTACTTTTAGTTAGTTAATCCCTCAACACCAGTGTTAATGTCGTTGACGAATAATTTTCGTCAACATTTTTTTCACTGACGACAACGAGACGATAACGAACTAAAATTCTTTTTGAATGACAGAAACTATGACGTAAATCTATTGACATTTTCGTCAACGAATAAAAACGAGACGAAAATGTTAGGGAGGGACGATTTGGGAAGAGATTCATTCAGAACGAAACTGCTTTGTGGTTCGGAGGTTTGATGCGTACATATGAACCGGCGGGACATAAGCTAACATACACTTGCTGCACGTCGCATAAAACGTTCAAATAACGAACTAAAACTCTTTTTGAATGACAAAAACTATGATGTAAATCTATTGACATTTTCGTCAACGAATAAAAACGAGACGCAAATGTTAGGGAGGGACGATTTGGGAAGAGATTCATTCAGAACGAAACTGCTTTGTGGTTCGGAGGTTTGATGCGTACATATGAACCGGCGGGACATAAGCTAACATACACTTGCTGCACGTCGCATAAAACGTTCAAAAATGTCAATATGTGGGAGTAAGAAGAGCAGACATGTGGATAAATCTGACGACGCAAGAGAGAGCTCAATTCGGTCCGATTTTCAGAGCGCAGACACTGAAGCATACAGTGCTTAATACGTTTTAAAGGGATAGCAGTCTAATTTAGTTGCTATTGTCCAAGTCATTGATGTTAATCAAGCAACAAAAGAAAATCACGCACTGCTCGACTGAAAAACTTTAGTAGCCCTAAAGATTAATCTACATTTATTTATAGAAATAAATATGTCTGCTTGAAAGAATGAAGAATATGGTAAACAAGTTGCTATAAAGAATGCATAATTAGCCTATATAACCATTGGTATTTCATTAAAAAGAAGACCATGTTCTTGTTCTTTATGAGAAGTGGTTTTATTTAATTTTAACATAAAGGCATGTTGTGTGTCACCGCAGTTAAATCGGTGTCTATCATGATAAAACCTTAATATCAAACCTATATAATGAGTTTGGAAATTTTAGAGAAATGCTTAATAAATGCACTGTAACTAAACCCATTAGATTTTAGCCGACTAAATTTACTGCAGATTTAGTCGACTAAAATCTTATAATATTTAGTCAACTAAAACTAGACTAAAACTAAAAACAATTCAGATGACTAAAATATGACTAAAACTAAATGGCATTTTAGTCAAAAGACTATGACTAAAACTAAATCAAAATTTGCTGTCAAAATTAGCACTGCTCAACACTGATTATATTATTGGTTAATATTGTTTTTCTCCTCTCTCCTTGGTTATATAAGCAGAAATTTTGCTGCAGAGATAGAGAAAGCTATTAGATTTTGCTAAAATAGTTTTGTTTATGTTTTAATGAGTATTACTGTTGTTTTTGTGCAGTTCTGGATGTCTGCTTTAGCCACAACTCTTCCCGTACCATGTGGAGCCTTTATGCCTGTTTTCGTCATTGGTAAGTATTTGTAAGTTAATTAAACTTTTAAAGCAAGACACCACAGGTTAATTGAGTAAACAATGTAACTAATAGATATCGCAGTACTTCCCCCGTTGATTAATTACAGTACATGTTTTGTATTAGAAGTTTTCTGAAATGTTGTGTTTAAATATTACATTAAATTTGCACTAATTTGCATACATTTCCAGAGTTTAATATGAACATTGGGTAAAGCCAGGTTCAAAATTCTTGTTTTAATTTGTTGGCATGTTAGAGTTAAAGATTTTTACTGAAGGGATTTTGGATTTCTCTTTTTATCACTCCATAAATCTGAAAATTCTGTCAGCAAGAGAAAAGTACATTTTCGCTATGTTTTTAGGAATAAAATGTTATAGAAATCATTGTGAAGGATATATTAACAAACCCCTCTATAAAAACCTTCAGAATATAGTTAGGATTAACACTCTTAAATTTGATGTATGTAAGTACTGCTGAATTGGAAAAATAAACTAATTTTGTGAAAACTACCTTTAAAGATATAGATGTATATTGTAATTGCAATCTACCGATGCAAGCAGATAAGTACCAAAATAAAACCTTGTGATTGATATATGAACAAACCCTTCAGTAAAAACCTTTAGAATATAGATAGGAATCAAACTCTTTAAGTTTCGGTGTATGTAAGTGCTGCTGAAGTGGGAAAAAAACAGGCTTTAAATGTGTGTATTATAATTGCAACCTACAGGCGCAAATAGTTAAGTACCATAATAAAACCGTGTAAATGATATATTAACAAACCCCTCTATAAAAACCTTTCGAATATATAGAGGAGTGTGTGTAAGTGCTGCTGAAGTGGAGAAAAAAACTCATTTTGAGGAAACGGCCTTTAAACATTTGTACAGATGCACATAGATAAATTTGATAAAATAAACTTAAAATAAAAACTTAAATGTGTATTTTGGATATTTTGGATATTCTTTTCTGAAAGAAGACATGTTATAGAAGCAGAATAGTTCAAAAGCTCAAAATTGGCAAGTGCATGAAAAAACAATAGTTTTTCCTGTAGTATTTCATGCAATATATTTGAAGAGTTAATTTGCAAAAAACGATAACTCGTACATTTTTTTTTTTTCAGAAATCACGTTTTTTTTTTTAATTGCGCATTCCAAGTAATATCAATCAAACTGCAGTTGGGTTGTTTTGATTAAGTAATAATTACTTAAACAAATACAGGTAATTTACAAAATTAAAGTTCATTGAAAGTATGTTTTTTTTTACATTTTAAAAGTTCGTTTTATAGCAAAAGCAGATAACCCTAACAGTCGTTTTTTGGCAAAAGCAGATAACTCCACATTTCATGTTTTAGAGTTTAAAAAACACTCGTTTAATCTTTGTAATCTCCTCAGATGACAATGTAGACGTCTGACAAACATTGTTGTTGTTGAGATCATAAACTGTATGTATGTGATTACACGCAATACACAGAGATTTTCTCTCACCATTGTAACGCGCTGCTTTTGCAAGTTTCCGTGAAAACGTTTCAGCTTTTATTTTCCTTTTTCGCCCTGAAGAAGATATCACAGGTTCATCAAGTTCGTCGAAATGATCCATCCTCGATCTCTTTTAGTCAGCTTTGACGAAACTCCTAGTCCTCTCAGCTAGCACGTCTTTTCAAAGTGAAGTAGCCTTGTCACCTGACCTGAATACAGTTAGCTGATTCGCTAAAATGGACTTATTGGCTTCTGTTCAAAAACAAGGGCGCTTGTCTGCTTCTGCAGTAAAACGTGAACTCGCGATGCCTTGAAAGTGGACAAAACCGCCTTTTTGACAAAACTTGTTTATGTTCAGATCGCGCTATATGTGGAGAATAATGCACGGCAATCAGCTCGTTTTTTTTTTTTTAAAGTGGCGTTTATCGGTTTTTGCAAATTAACTCTTCATTTATTAAAATGTGACCTGGGAATGTGAACCTGTGTGTTTCAGGTGCTGCGTTTGGCCGTTTGGTGGGTGAAAGTATGGCCGCATGGTTTCCAGAGGGCATTAATACGGACGGAACCATCTATCCCATAGTTCCCGGAGGATACGCTGTTGTGGGTGAGAAGCAAACTATCTTCAAGAGACACGTTCATGCACACATTCATCACAGCTGATTACCTTTTATGGAAATTGCTTCATTGTTGTCATAGTGATTTTGAGAGGCATTGATTTAGTTTTGTTGTGTTTGGTCGTGGATTGTTGTTTTCATTGTTAGTCTTTGATTAGTAGCCACTGGATTCAATTATGAAATAACAATAACCACTTTTGAATGCTTATTATTTTATTTATAGCTTAATGGCCAATATGGTGAAGGGTTTAGAGAAGTGTATGATTTTGACCATCAAATGCACTGTAACAAATTGTTTTTCTTAGAAAATGTAATATTTCAGTATTTAAAAAAAAAAGGATGAGATATTTTAAATATTTGTAATATTTGTAAATATTAAATACATTTTATAAATATTTTACACAATTGTATACATTTCACAAATATATAAAAGGTATACAGAAATGTAAAATGTATGATCAATTTCTACCTACTATTTATTTATATTTAAGGCACATCTAAATAGCCATTTGTGTATTTTTTATTGGTGACTGTTTGTTTTGTACGTATTTTATTGTGATGTTGTGAAACACTTTGGGCTACTTGGTGTTGCATTACTCTGTGCTATATAAATAAACAAGAACAAGAACCATGTTTCACTGCAAATTTAAGTGTGTATAAAACAAATAAATCTTGAATCATGAAAAATAGTAATACTAAAAAAGTTCTCTAAAAAAAAATCAAGCTATAACTAGAAGTGTAGATACCAATTTCTTTCATTTTTACAGTATGTAGATATGTTTTTTTGTTTGAATGTTTGCACCACTGATTTTCTGTTCTGTGCGACTTGAAATTCTTTGAATTGCAATTCAGTAACTATCTCTTCTTGTCAGTTCATGAGTTTGAATTTGAATTGAATCGGCTCAGTAGTTTGTGTTCATTTGGTATTTTGCATTAACTTAAAGTGAACCAATTTGAAGTGTTTTTCATTCGTTCTGTTAAATCTGTCTCTCTGCAGGAGCGGCGGCGTTATCCGGAGCGGTCACACACACTGTTTCCACAGCCGTGATCGTGTTTGAGTTGACGGGTCAGATCAGTCACATTCTGCCCATCATGATCGCTGTGATTCTCGCCAACGCCGTTGCTCAGAGTCTTCAGCCGTCCATCTACGACTCCATAATCCGCATTAAGAAGCTGCCTTACCTGCCTGAGCTCGGCTGGGGCCACCATGAGTGAGTATCTCTGTCTGTCTATATTAGACTTGTGCCGGTATTCGGTAATATTAGCAATTAATCGCAACATGAAAATTTGATACCGGCATATCCCTAGTCTATATAGGTGTACATCTTATATTGCGTTTTTCTACCTCAGCACAGTCTTTGTAGGATTCAGTAACAACTGCAAAATACTGAAGCAGAAATGCTCATTTTTTTCTTATGTTTAATCACGGTGACATCAAGTCCTTTCTTCTCACATGAAAAGCAATTTAGCAACTAGTTACATTTACATTTTACAATTTGCATTTTTATAACAAAATTAATGTTAAAGGTTTGGCTGTGTATAATTTAATACTTAAGTAATGTTTCGTATTTTTTACTCATAAAACTAAATCTGCCAATCGAAAAACCCACAGGAAGGTCCTGAGGTACCATGGTTATTATAGTTAACTCAAACTAAAACTGAGACTAAAAATAAAAGCATAAAACCTTTTTTCTTTACTTGAAATTAAATAAATGTTAAATAAAATAAAATATAGAAAACTTTTTATTTCAGCTAGTTGCCAAGGCAACATTTCTAATTTTTAAATTAGTTTAGTTTGATGTACTAAATAACTAAAACTGAAATAAAAATGAATAAAACTATAAAGACGTTTAAAAACAACAAAAACTGATGTAAATGACAAAAAAACAACAAAATTAATAAAACTTAAACTAAAATGTAAACAGAAAATATAAAAATAAAAACTGATTCAAAATATTAATAAAAATTATAATAGTATCTCAATGATACTAAAATAACAAAGAACTTGTAGCAAAAATGCTGATTCACTTCTGGGTTTAAAGCTGTAATGGCTAAAGAAATAAAGCAATTGGCAAATGCTTATATTATATATGCAATTAAAAGATACAATTATTTATTATTTTACTGTTGCATTTAACTACATTAACAAAGTCATCTATTTATTTTTAAAGTGATTTACATTTTTACTTTTGCATTAATACGTTTTTCCTCCGTTTTATTAAGATCAACACACAGAGATGGTGTTTTCTCTTCATTAGTGTAAATGGACAGACTGTGTGTAAACAAGGTCTAAAGTTACACACACACCCACCCACACACACACACACACACACACACACACACACATTAGACTAATGGAAATCTGTGCAACACACACATCAATCTTAGTTTCCGAGGCTTTCAGATTTTCAGGATTACAAAGTTTCAGATTTTGTCGCCTTATGTGTGTGTGTGTGTGTGTGTGTGTGTGTGTGTTTCTGTTGTGATTAAAGAGCAGGAAATGGAAACGATGATGCAGAACATGCACGCGCGCACACACACACACACACACACACACACACACACATACAGGTGTTTCGCTCTGAATGATTGTGTGTTTCTGCCCTGGTGTCAAACTCGTCTGAGCCGTCTGAGAGATGCATTTATACCTGTCGAGAGAACAATTACATAACTGTGTTTGTTTGTTTGTGTGTGTGTGTGTGTGTGGGAAGTTAGATTTTTGCTGAGTTAGAATCTGCAGAAAACTCACTTATCAGCAGGATGGACACACACACTCACTCATTGACATTCAACACTCTGTATCTCTTCCCCTCTCTCTCTCTCTTTCTCTCTCTCTCTCTCTCTCTCTCTCTCTCTGTCGATTCATTTTTCATTTCAGTCTGTTTCCCACACAATTCTGCCAAAATATCAATCAAAACAGGAACAAAATATTCAAGTTAAAGTCTTATTTGAACAATAGAACCTTTTCTGTTTATATAAATGGATGTTTATCCTCCAAAGCGCGTCTGACTTGTGGGGTTCCCCAGGGATCTATCCTTGCTCCCATTTTGTTTTCTTGCAGCTGCTAGACTCCTTACTGGCACTCGTAAATTTGAGCACATCACTCCTGTCTTACTCTCTCTGCGTTGGTTGCCGGTTCATTTTAGAGTAGAGTTTAAGATTTTACTTTTTGTTTTTAAGGTCTTAAACGGTCTGGCACCATCTTATTTATCTGAACTCATGACTGTTAACATATCTGCGAGATGTTTAAGGTCATCAAATCAGAAATTGTTAAAGGTTCCTAGATCAAGGTTAAAAAGAAAGGGAGCTTTTGCCGTAGTCGGCCCCAAACTGTGGAATAGCGTACCTTAATCTATTAGGATAATCTCTTCAGAATCTCTGTTTAAAGTAAAACTTAAGACTCACCTTTTAGAAAAGGCTTTCAACATCTGAGTCGTCCTGAGCATGTCTCTGTTGTCCTCTGTATGTACTACCTCCTGTACCATATGACTTTTATGTTGTTTTGATTGGTGTTTTATTAATCTGATTTTATAATTTATTGTACAGCACAATGGTCAACGACTGTTGCTGTATTGTGCTATATAAATAAACAAACCAAACCAAACCAAGACTCAACTTTGTGGTCATCCATGTTCAGCTTTCCTTGAAGGAACTCTTTCATTTGTCTCATGACTTGTTCCATGTCGTCTGATGGTAAGCTGTCTTGTTCTTGTGCATACTCAGCACTGTGCATGTCTGAGTGGTGCTGAGGTGGGTTTTGTTGTCGCTTACCCACACGAGTTGCTCTTGGATGAGTCAGGCGATTACCTTTGGATGTCTGGTTAGGTTTCCAGTTGTTCTTATCTTTTGGGTTTCTTGAGAAGCGTGGCTGTTCCCATGGATTTTTCCAGCGGCTGGGCTGAAAGCTGTCGTGGACATGGGGGTCACGTTCTCTGTGCTCTTGATGGAAGACTCTGGTGTCGTGATGCCACTGGGTGTCGTCCAGTGCAAGGCTTGAGTCTTTGGTGACAGAGTTCAAGAGTGTGGATGTTTTGTTACCTTTCTTTGAGGCCATCTTCTGCTTGTTGTAGGCCTTCTGTGTTAGGTCACGCAACTGTTGGATGGTCATGGAGCGCGGACAGGCCATGACGCCTAGATGGTGGCTGACTCCAGGGTGCAGATTCCTTAGAAAGAGGCTTTTGAAGTTCACATCCTCTTCAAGGTCAGGTTCGTTGTGTGCACCAAAGTAGGCTTGACGGAGTCGGTTGTAGTAAGCTTGTGGAACCTCTTGTCGACCTTGTTTGATCTCCAAGGCAGTTAACAGTCCATGTTCAGACTCAGGGTCTGTAAACTCTTTAATCAGGACCTCACGAAGTAGCTGGTAGCTTGACTTTGTTTGACTGGGCTGTCGATTAGTCGGCCCCAAACTGTGGAATAGCGTACCTTTATCTATTAGGATAATCTCTTCAGAATCTCTGTTTAAAGTAAAACTTAAAACTCACCTTTTAGAAAAGGCTTTTAACATCTGAGTCGTCCTGAGCATGTCTCTGTTGTCCTCTGTATGTACTACCTCCTGTACCATATGACTTTTATGTTGTTTTGATTGGTGTTTTATTAATCTGATTTTATAATTTATTGTACAGCACAATGGTCAACGACTGTTGCTGTATTGTGCTATATAAATAAACAAACCAAAACCAAACCAAAATATGTCTTGTATGCCAACAAAAAAGTATCATTTAAAAAAAAAACGAAGGATAACTTTTGCGATTATACCGATTAAATATATTTGTACATTTTCTGAAATAAATGTGTTTAAATATTTTTTTACTAAAATGTGGCAACAAGCAGGGTTATTATAGTTTACTAAAAAAATAAAACCATTAAAAAAATTGTTAGTTGAAATAAAATAAACGTTAACTGAAATAAAGTAAAATGTAAGAACGAATTTTATTTCTAATTGCCAAAGCATTCTTATTTTAATTTAGTTTAACTTGATGTTCTAAAATAACAAAACCTAAAACTAAAATACAAATTATTAAAACTATATAGAAATATAAAAATATAATAATCAATCAAACAATCAAGTCATGTAAAGTACCAGGCCTGCGTTCACTGAGCTGCTGTAGTGGAGGATGAGTTTGTAAATGTCCTGCATCAGCTGTATCGCTGGGAAACACAATGATATCTCTGTCTGCAGGAAGTATAATATTCGTGTGGAGGACATCATGGTCAGAGATGTTCGTTATATCACACTGAACTCCACCTACAGAGACCTTCACGAGATTCTCCTGATAGGAAACCTCAAAACGGTGGCGCTGGTGGAGTCTGCAGGTACAAACACATGCTTGCTCTATATGTACATTATATTTATACATTTACATATGCATGGCTGGTTTGTCTTTTTAGTTTGCACTTTTTTCCAAATGTTTGTTTTGTAGTAATTGATACATTTATATTTGCTTTAAAAAAAATAAATCAATAAAAAAATTCTAAAATGTTAGTTTTTGTAGAATGATCAAACAAATAAGTCAAAAAGGTTGTTATTGACGATTGTGTGTGTCAAAACTTAAAAAATAGAATGTGGTTCAAATTATTTAAAATTATTATTATTATAATGAGGAAATTACAGACATTTGATGTGTTTGAAACTTGAAACGTATATATTATGTATGTGTGTATATACAGTATATATATATATATATATATATATATATTGGGTTTTGTTTTCCCTTAATAATAAAAACCTTCATTTAATGCATGCATGTTGTGTTTACTTGTGTTATCTTTGACTAATATTTAAATTTGTTTGATGATCTGAAACATTAAAGTGTGACAAACATGCAAAAAAATAAGAAATCAGGAAGGGGGCCAACACTTTTTCACACCACTGTATATATATTTTATTTGTTAATAATTTGAATTCATTTTTATTTTTAGAATTTTTTTTATTGTAACTTTAAGGTTTGTATTTTTATTAGTTTTTATAAATTTTTATTTCAGTTTTAGTTTGTTATTTTAGTACTTCATGTTAAACTAAATGAAAATGAGAAATGTTAATTTGGCAACTAGCTGAAATAAAAAGTTTTTTTTGTCGTTTTATTTCAGTTAATGTTAATTTTATTTGAACTAATTAATGTTTTTTTAAAGTTTTTTGTTTTAATTAACTATAATAACCATGATATATGTACACACACTACTACACTTGAAAAGTTTTGGTTGGTTTTTGGTTGACTTTTTTTAAATGTTTGAAAGAAGTCTCTTCTGTTCACCAACAATGCCTTTATTTGATTTTAAAAAACAGTAATATTGTGAAATATTATCATTTTAAATAACTGTCTTCTATGTGAATATCTGTTAAAATGTAATTGATTTCCTGTGATCAAAGCTGTATTTTCAGCATCATTACTCCAGTCTTCAGTGTCACATGATCTTCAGAAATTATTCTAATATGCTGATTTGCTGCTCAAGAAACATTTCTGATTATTATCAATGTTCAAAACAGTTGTGCTGCACAATATTTTTGTGGAAACCGTGATACATTTTATTTTTCAGGATTCACAGATGAATAGAAAGTTCAAAAGAACAGCAATTATTTGAATTAGAAATCAGTTTTGGTCAGTTTAATGCGTGCGTCCCAGCTGAGTTAAAGCATTGCTTTCTCTGGTCTGCAGAGTCGATGATTCTGCTGGGCTCTATTGAGCGCGCTCAGTTGCAGGCGCTCCTCACGCAGCATCTGAGTCGCGAGCGGCGGCTGGAGTTCATACGCGATCGCGCCGACGCCGAGAGAAAGCGTGTGTCTGTGGTCAGCACTCCCAGCAGCGAGGAGGGGGGTCACAAGGTCAACCACGAGGTTCGCTTCCAGGTCAGAGGGAAAACGTTTGCTTGACTCTCTCATCTGACTCTTCATGCTGTGTTTTCTCAGTTTCTGAGACGTGATCTCTGTTTGTGAGTGTAGATCTCCACAGAAGAGTCGTCGTTCACACCGGCCCGTCCCATCTCACCTAAACCTCTCAAACCTGCGCTGAAGAGGACGCCTGCCGCCGAGAAAAACATCGAGATCCCCACAAGTAATATCACACACACACTTTTACTTATCCGTGAAAACACTTCAAAGTAGGGATGTAGCGATATCAAAATCTCCCGATATGATATCGCGATATAAAGTCCACAATACGATATTTATTGTGATATTTAAAAAAAAAAAGACATATGAAGAATTGGAAAAATAATGAAAGTTAAATGATTGTATCTAATGTACTTTGAGAGTTAAAAATTAAGAGCTGCAACCCATGTTCTTAACTAAGAAAACTTAAGTCAGTCTTAAAAGAACTTTAAAGGGGACTCGACCCTCTTTTTATTTGTGGTATAGCATCTCAGTCTAAATTACATTCACACTGGTGTTTGAGGAAGCCTAATAAATTAGAATAGAATAATAATAACAACAACAAGGACAGTAATAGCCATATATTGTAAAACGATTGCACTGTAAAATACATGAAAATGAATATTTTATAGGTATATTATTTTTGCTTTACACTACAATAGGGAAATTACAATACTTCTTTCCTAATTTCTACACTTGAAATGGTAGGCTATACGATGGTTGAATACATTTTCAATTTCAAAAATAGCCTATATTTTATTGAGCTTCACTCTTTACAAAATATATTTATAGGGATGTAACAATATCAAAATCTCACGGTACGATGATATCTCGATATGAAGTCCACGATACAATATTTATTGTGATTAAAAAAAAAAAAAGACATGAAGAATTCAAAATTAAGAACTCCAACCCATGTCCTTAACTAAGAAAACTTAAGTCAGAAAAAAGTCAGTGAATTGACTTGTACCTGAATTTTAAAGGGTACTCCACCCTCTTTTTATTTGTGATGTATGGTCTCAGTCTAAATTACATTCACACTGGTGTTTGAGGAAGCCTAATAAATTAGAATAGAATAATAATAACAACAACAAGGACAGTAATAGCCATATATTGTAAAACGATTGCACTGTAAAATACATGAAAATGAATATTTTATAGGTATATTATTTTTGCTTTACACTACAATAGGGAAATTACAATACTTCTTTCCTAATTTCTACACTTGAAAGAGATATTGTGAATCTGGACTGCATTTAAACCGCTAGCTGTCAGCTATTCATACTGCACTTTAAGCTTTTATTTAGAAGGAAACTCCAGCTTCAGTGAAAACATGCTTACAAAAACACGTCTCGCTACAAATCTAGTGAAGCGCTGTAATCATCTGCCGCTGAAATAAAGCATAACTGCTGTCTGTTGCGTTCCCTGTTAGCTCTTATTTTATGCCTTTTTCCCTCACATCACATATTATAGTAATCATCCTAAATTAGAAATTTCAAAAGCTTAAACACTCAAAATTCACCCTGTGAAAGCCCTTTTGAAATCAGACATTGCGTTACCATGAAAATAGTACTTTAAAAGTGTTTTTTTTTTTCTTTTTTAGTTTTTGCGATATCAACTTCAACTTCGGAACATAACTTACTTAGACACATAGCTTTGATTTTATAGCAATTTTAGATTCCAAAGATGTAATTTTAGATTCCAGATGTAAAAATTTATTTTATATCAAATATTTTTAGTACAGTACATTTCCTTTCCTATAAATTTTAACTTCTACAAATTTAGTAAAATTTTTAATGTCACTTCAGCAATCTCCAGATTGTCTTCTTTAACAAGAGACAAAACATTCATGAGTTACAACCATTTAAGCTTGGATAGTAATTTGATTATTATTATTTTTATATAAAATATCTATGCCACTGGATTGCACAAAGGTGACATTTTTTCTATTAAATAATTTTACATTAGAAGGATCTATTATATTATATTATATTATTATATAATGTGTATTGTATGTGTACTGTGTATATTTATTATGTATATGTAAATACACACACATACAGTATATATTTTGAAAATATTTACATGTATATACATTTATATATTTATATTTTATATTATATATAAATATATTTAATATATAAACAACATATTTTTCTTAAATATATACATGCATGTGTTTGTATTTATAAATACATAATAAACATACACAGTACATTAATCATTAAGGATGTGATTAATCGCGATTAATTGTTTGACAGCACTTATTATATTATATTATATTATATGTAAATTGTGAGTGTTTTCTGTGTTTTTCAGGTCCTCATGATTCTGGCATTGGCTTGAAGAATCTGTTATGTGCTCGACCTCAGACTGATGCAATGGAGGTGAGACACTCTTTCTCTCACACACACACACACACACACACTCACACTCACACACACACATTCTCGCTTGTTTCCTCATGGGGACCTCAAAAATGTCCCCACAAGGTCAAAATTTACTGGTATTACTATACTTGTGGGGACATTTGGTCCCCATAATGTGATGAATACCAGGTGCACACACACGCTCACACACACACACACTCTCACACATACTCTCTCTCACACACACACTCTCACACTCACAGACACACACACACAGTAACACGCAAACTCACACACACTCTCACACACACTCTCTCTCACACACACACTCTCAAACTCACAGACACACACACACAGACACACACACACACTCTCTCACACACACACACTCTCTCTCACACACACACACGTTTATGTTTATATGAGGGTAATCGTATGAAGTTTTTTGGTGTGTATGTTGTGTTTCCCTCCCTTTTCCCTTACGGAAGAATAATAACGTGGAGCACACAGTGGCTCCTGACTTCAGGCCCAAACGCGTCAGGATTTCGGTCTTGGTAAGAGCCGCTATTAAAACACGGGCTCGTCAAATCATCGCGTCATCATCTGCCATCATCTTTTCATAAACGCCTTCCTCATGCCTGTTCCTGACCTTTGACCTGGGTGCACAAATAGAGAATCACTGGAATTTTACAGTAAAGATTTTACCACATTCCAAGACAATATTATGTTTTTTATTGTGTGGTAAACATTAAACTCAGTTTCATTGTTTTGATCGGTCTGCACTGGACAGGTTCAAAGGTCAGAAATAGTGTAATCTAGCAGGAACATTGGAGGCAAGCCAAGCATGCGTAGCTGTCAATCATCAGCATGACATCAGAACTGGCCAATCAGTGCGTGTTGCATGAGAAGTGGGCGGAGCCAATGAATGATTGCATCCTATAACGCTCGTCTTGCTCACTTCATGTAAAGCGTAGTACTGCTGTAGAGTTTAGATCTTACACTTTAAAGGATAGCTCACCTAAAAAGATCATTCTGTCATCATTTACTCATCCTCATGTCGCTCCAAACCTGTATGACACGTATGAGATTTTTTATTGAAAGTCAGTGTGCTTTTGTCTCTTTTCTTTGAATCTGCTGGGACTTCATAATGGATAAAAGGTGTCAAAGTGCTTTGATTTGAATAGCTAAATATTAAATTAATATTACTAAAATGTCAGAGTTACTAGTTATTGTTGCAACACGTTTAATTTTAAAATGTGTAACAATTAGGCGCATGTAAATGTCTTCTCATTTACAGTAACTCTAACTACAATTATAATGGTGTTTTGATGCAAATTATGTTTACAGGAAATATCAGGACTGCTTATTTTTTGGTAATCGCAATTACTTTACCACCTAAAAAATAAAATAAATTACACATTTTAATTATACTTTAAACCTATACAGTGATATATTATTTATGTAACTTTTATCTCATTATATTTCTATAAATTCTTAAATATTTTATTGATTTAACCAGTTCTATGTTGTTTTATCTTTACTGCATAAGTAAAAAAGTAAAGTCCTTATTTTAAGTTAATTTTAATGTCTTTATTTAAAGTTATATTTATAAATTTATTAAATGTCTACTCTCTCGCATTACAGAGCAGTGGCATGATTTCCAAAATTAAAATAATTCTGCATTAATATTGACTTTTATATATTATATTATATTGTACTTATTTTAAGTCGTTTTTTCAACTTTTCAGTAAGTTTCCATTTGTTAATATTAGTTAACTACATTAGTTAACATGAACTAACAACGAAAAATACTAAAGCGTTTGTTAATATTAGTTCATACTAATTTGAACATTTACTAATACATTATTGACATTTTTATCTGAATTTAATTTTAACTAAATTAAGCTGAATAATGACACTTTTATCCTCTTTTGAGCTGCTTAACAGCTGAAATTGAATGAATGTAAAGCTGCTTTGAAATTATTTGAGTTATATAGAAAAGTGACTTGATATTATTAAAATCAAAAATGGATTTAATGGATATGAGCTAAAAATGAACAGATGTATTTTATTAACCGACTTTATACAAAGATGAATAAATACTGTAGCAAATGCATTGCTCGTTGTTAATGTTAGTTAATGCACTAATGGACGTTACTGTAAAGTGTTGCCTAGATTTCTATGTGAATGATTTCTAGCGTCAGTCAGTGCAGCTGTTGAATGACCCACATCTTGTGTAAATGAATCCAGACTGTTTGTGCAAATATATTTCTGAAAGCTGAACCGGTGTGTCAGTGATGATGTCACACAGTTGCTATGGAGACACATTTGCGTACTTGTAGCATGATGAACGTACTGTATATTAACAGCATATAACGGCTACATAATGATTGAACCTTCATCACAGTTCTGCGACGGCAACGGAAATCCATATTATATGCTTCTGGCTCATTTTACTGAATTATGTATGTTTAAAAATATATATATAAAAAAAGAGAAAGCCATACAGTTTTTTTCCAGTTATTTTGCACAGACTATTATGGAAATGGACGGTGCAAAACAGCTGGAAAAGCATTGCATGGCTTTCTCTCTATTATTTTATATTTTAAATTTAATTACTTGATTTTGTTGTTAAAAATGGCCGAATTATGTATGTTTAAAAAAAATTTTTTTTAAAGAGAGAGCGAGAAAGGCATGCAATTTTTTCCTTTTTTGTGCCAACAATTCCAATATTAACCTATATAATATAATATAATTAAAAAGAAAAATATTTATTATAGAAATGGTCAGTGCAAAATAAAAAATAAAAAACTGGAAACATTTGCCTAGCTTTCTCTTTTTATTTTATTTTATTTATTTTTTTTTTAACTAATATTATATTATATTTATTATACTTATTTTTAAGTTAAAATTGTTTTCATAAATAGATTACGGTAAAACTTTACCATAGGATTACATTTGTTAACATTAGTTAATTAGTTAATATGGTTCTTGCTACTTTGATTGCTGATTTTGTTGTCAAACATGACCGATTTTGTGTTTAAAAAGTTTTTTTCTTTTTTTTAAGAGAAGCATGCAACTTTTTCCATTTGTTTTGCGGCAACAATTTCTATAATGACCTAAATAATATCATATAAAATTAAAAATGAATTAAAAGAAGACAAATGTTTTTTTAAATATTTAATTTTATTTTCGTTAACTACATTAGTTAACATTATATGGTTCTTGCTACTTTGATTCCGTATTTTGTTGACTGAATTATGTATGTTTAAAAATATTAAACGTAGAGAAAGCAGTGCAAATTTTTCCAGTGATTTCAGTGCAAAACAGCAGGAAAAATGTGCACGTTTTCTCATCTTAAAAGTCACGATTGTCAAACACGTTTAACACCCACAAACCCACGGGACAGACTGTGTGTGTGAGAGTGTGTGTGTGTGTGTGTGAGAGTGTGTGTGATATACTTGTACAGAGAAAAGTGCAACTGCAGGCTGATCTCATCGATTAAATTTAGCATGAGAGAGATAAAGAGGGAGGAAGAGGAACTCTAATCTGTCGACTGCCAAAGCAGCGCTCAGAGATATTGATCAGACGACACAACATACTAGCATTACAAACCATCAACACACACTCGTATATCACACCCAAACAAATTCAGATGTGAAAAGGACAAATAGAATACCGTAAATTCTCTATTCACTGTCTTTTTAGCCTGCAAGTTTCTGGAAAGAGGGTTTTTGTATTCAGGCTTGTCATGTTTCTTATGTAATGTTACTGCAAAGCGCTTCATCTGAGTGTGTGTGTGTGTGTGTGTGTGTGTGTGTGTTTCAGGAGGATCCAGACGCAGAGGATGACATGACTCTTGGCGAGGTGAGGACACTGCGGCTGTAATAGTGAAAACCTCTCATAAAATATGTGTAGATGCACACTAATAATCCGTTTGTAATCAGACTGAAAAGCCTTCATATAAAGCCCTCGACTGATCGGATTCAGCTCGATCGGATTGAAAGTGCTGATGCAGACCTAAAATGATCCGAACAAACTAAGCATTTAAACTTGAATAGGACTATCGTCTCAATCAGATTCAAAGATATCTTGCTCACATACGCAGTGCAGTGATGCATATGTTTTATTATAAGATCTATAAGTTTGCGTGCGCTTTACTTCTTACGAGATGCATGTGTTTATTTATGAGTTTCGAACCGGTCAGTGAAGGAAACTGCAGATGCACCACAGAATTAAAAATAAAAACTTTGCAACTTTTTTATTTCATGATTCAGACTTTCAAGTTTTGTTCTTGCAGTTGAATGTTTTTATTTCACAACTTTGGCTTTTCTTCCCTGAACTGCATGTTAACATCTCCTCGCAGTTCTGAGAAGAAAAGTCAGAATTGTGAGAAAAAAAGTTGATTACAGAAATGTGTCAAATTAACCATCACTTCCTCAGCCATTCTATTAGAAACACCCTCACAGCTAGTTAAATATTAACTAGAATTAACTTTATTTTTTATGCCAAGGTACTATGACACACTATATAAAGTATAGCATTCTAATTGTACATTAATTAAAAAAAAAAAAAAATTTAAATGCTATATTTTTGATGTTGAAAAATCTAAATAGTGCAAATCCGTTTACTCTTAATAAGTGATGTACTTCAGATAACAAAACTGAAATCACAACAAAAATAACTAATTATGGATGGATATATATATATATATATATATATAATGCACAGTAAAATTTCATCAATTATTGTCAATAGTGTATTGGTTTCTATGCTGAAATGTAAGTTCAATCTTGATAATAAAGAATGGCATTCTAAATATAGATATACACATAATGTAATTAGCTATGGTTACTAATGGTGGATATTATATTTACATAATATTTATTAATAGTGCATATTTGCTATATTTACTATTGAATATTTATGTGTGCATAATAAATGTATTAATGTATTAATAGTGCAAAGCTAAATAACACAATAAAAAAAGTGTATTTGACTAAAGTATAGCGCTCTAAATGTACATTAATATTTTTTTTTTTTTTTATTAAAGTACATTAATGTATATATGTATTTATGTATTATATTCATGATGTATATAATTGGACAAATTGCAAAGCAAACTGCAAAGCTACATAGATTAAGAATAAAAATACGTATTACCATATATTTACATATTACAATATTTTTTTAATTGCTATATTTACAATGTTTGTAATGAGAAAAGTTTAAATGTACAGACACACATAGACACAAATACAGAGTCATTGACGAAGAAATATAAAATTGATGACATTAAAGAATTTAAAAAATGCATAAATGACAAGTAAATAAAGTCAATAAACCGTCTCTGGCTGTGAATGCAGATTGAGGAGTGGGAGGAGCAACAGATGGACGAGCAGGTGAACTTCAACAGCTGCAAGATTGACCCCGCCCCCTTCCAGCTGGTGGAGCGCACTTCACTGCACAAGGTGTGTGTGTGTGTGCGCGTGTGTGTGCATGAGTGTGTGCGTGCGTGTCTGTGTCTGTGTGCGCGCGCGTGTGTGTGTGCGTGTGTGTGTGTGTGTGCGTGTGTGTGTGTGTGTGTGTGTGTGTGTGTGTGTGTGTGTGTGTGTGTGTGTGTGTGTGTGTGTGTGTGTGTGTGTGTGTGTGTGTGTGTGTGTGTGTGTGTGTGTGTGTGTGTGTGTGTGTGTGTGTGTGTGTGTGTGTGTGTGTGTGTGTGTGTGCGTGCGTGTGTGTGTGTGTCTGTGTGTGTGTGTGCGTTCGTGTGTGTGTGCGTGTGAGAGAGAGTGTATAAGGTTAGGATCTATGTGAATGTAAGCTCTGTTGAGGTTTTTAATAAAGGGCTCTGCACACACACACACACACACATATGCTGACACTGGATTTATCGTCTGCTTTTGCAAACTCACTTGTGGCAAGAGCACAGAAGTGTTCATTAAGACCCGCTCTGCAGTGGTACACACACACACACAAGCTGTGAATGTGTTTAATGCAGTCCAGTCGTCCTTCTCCTACACATTTCTACACTTGCATGTGCACTCATTATATCTCTATCCACACACTCACTGATTGATTTATGTGTTTTGTGTGCATGCTTGTGGTCAGAATGTAGCTTAATTTATGCGTTTCCCTCTTGCAATGTTACAAAGTGTCATGAAAAACAACACTGTGAATGTTTTTGGTGCATGAAAGCACTACCATTTATGCATTATTATTATTATTATAACAAATGTATTATACTACTTATTTATTTGTTTGTACGATGACTCTCTTGCCTCTCTGACAGACTCACACCATCTTCTCTCTGCTGGGTTTGGATCACGCTTACGTCACCAGCATCGGGAGACTTATAGGAGTAGTTTCACTGAGAGAGGTGAGAGATTCCTGTGATCAAAGTTGTATTTCCAGCATCATTACTCCAGTCTTCAGTGTCACATGATCTTCAGAAATCATAATAATATGCTGATTTGCTGCTCAAGAAACATTTTTATGGAAGCTTATTTTTGCCACAAAAAAAATGGAATTGCGACTTTTAATCTCAAAACTTTTTCCTCGTAATTCTTCTCTTAGAGTCTTATATCTCACAATTATGTCTTTTTTCTCGCAATGTACTTTCTTGCCAATTCTGATTTTTCTTGCAATGGACTTTTTTTTCTAGCAGTTACGACATTTTTTTCACAGTTGTGACTTGGACTGAATTTTTTATTGTAATTCAAATTTTTATATCTCAGTTCTAGGGAAGCCCATTTCCGCCACCGAATAAATAATAAAAAAGGTAATTGCGACTTTTTATCTCACAATTCTGACTTTTTTTCTCAGAATTGTAAGATATAAACTCACAATTGCAAGTTATAAAGTCAGAATTGCGAGATATAAAGTCAGAATTCTGAGAAGAAAAGTCAGAATTGTGAGGAAAAAAAGTCGCAATTACCTTTTTTATTATTTTTTTTATTCAGTGGCGGAAATGAGTTTCCATACAGTTCTGGACTTTTTTTCTACTATTACTTTTTTCTCTCAATTCTGCCTTTTCTCACACAATTGTGACTTTTTCTCACAATTCTTTTTTTTCCTTGCAATTCTGACTTTTTCCAGCAGTTACGACTTTCTTCTCACAATTTTTTCTTGCAATTCTGAGTTTTATATCTCACAATTCTGGACCTTTTTACTCACAATTTTGACATATTTTTTGCAATTCTGATTGTTTTTTTTTTACGTTTTTTTTTTTAGAAAAGTCTGAATTGTGAGAAATTCGCAATTACCTTTATTCAGAATTGTGAGGAAAAAAAGTCGCAATTACCTTTTTTATTATTTTTTTTATTCAGTGGCGGAAATGAGTTTCCATACAGTTCTGGACTTTTTTTCTACTATTACTTTTTTCTCTCAATTCTGCCTTTTCTCACACAATTGTGACTTTTTCTCACAATTCTTTTTTTTCCTTGCAATTCTGACTTTTTCCAGCAGTTACGACTTTCTTCTCACAATTTTTTCTTGCAATTCTGAGTTTTATATCTCACAATTCTGGACCTTTTTACTCACAATTTTGACATATTTTTTGGAATTCTGATTGTTTTTTTTTTTACGTTTTTTTTTTAAGAAAAGTCTGAATTGTGAGAAATTCGCAATTACCTTTATTTTATTTATTTATTTATTTATTTATTTATTATCCTTGGTGCAAACAAGCTTCCATACATTTCTGATTAATTATCAATGTTGAAAACAGTTGTGCTGCCCAATATTTTCATGGTTTTCGTGATGCATTTTATTTTTCAGGATTCACAGATGAATAGAAAGTTCAAAAGAGCAACATTTATTTGCAATAGAAATCTTTTGTAACATTATAAATGTCTCTTCTGATCAGTTTAATGTGTCTGTTAATTGTTAATCGTCTGTGCTGCAGCTGCGTAAAGCCATCGAGGGCTCGATGACGGTGAAGGGCGTGAAGGTTCGTCCGCCGCTGGCGAGTTTCAGAGACAGTGGCACCAGCGGCACCAGCAGCGAAAGCGAAGCCACTGAACTCCACAAACTGTGGGATCGTCACACCAGCCTCAGCATTCCCCGAGAACACCAGCCCAACGCCTCCGACTCGGACGATAAGTCGCAGTGACCCGCGGCGGACGCTCGCATCCAAAAACCCTCCGGTCTTCCCACACTTATCCTCTTTGCCTTCTGGAGAATCAGGGACTATCTGGACTCTGCCGAGGCTCCTCCAGTGTGCGTATGTGTGCGTTTATTTGTGTGTCTGTTGCAGAAAGAGACGGATCATTTCATCTTTGACGTTACCTACCATTCCCTTTTTCACTTTTTAAGAAATGTGATGCACAAGCTCTGTTTGAACGCTTCATCTGGTGTCTCGTGGTTTTTACATTGGGGAATTTATATCTCACTGTTTTTTTTCTTGCAGTTCTTTTTTCTCGCACTTATGACTTTTTTCTTGCAGTTATGTCTTTTTTCTTGTAATTGGCCTTTTCTCGATTATTTTGACTTTTCTCGCTAGTCTTTTTTTCTCGCAATTATGACTTTTCGTAATTGAGTTTTCCTCTTGCATTGCAATTCTGATTTATTTCCTCGCAATAATGCATTTTTTCTCGTGATTGACTTTTTCTAGCTCTTTTGACTTTTCTCGCTAGTCTTTCTCATAATTATCTTTTTTTTCTCGCAATTTTACTTTTCTCTTAGTTACAACTATTCTCGCAATTATAACTTTTTCTCACAATTATGACTTCTCGCAATTAGGATTTTCTCACAATTAAATTTTTTCGCAATTATGACTTTTCTCACAGTTTACTTTTTTCGGAATTACATCTTTTCTTTTTGCAATTGACTTTTTTTTTGCATGCATGACTTTTATTCTCCCAATTGTGACTTTTTCGCAAGTATGAATTGTCTTCTCGCAATTGACTTTCTCAATTTTTTTTTCCAGCAGTTATGACTTTTATGATTTTTTTCACAATTATGACTTTTCTTCTCGCAATTGACTTTTTTTCTCACAATTATGACTTTTCCGTAATTGATTTTGTTCGCAGTTATGACTTCTCACAATTATGACTTTTTTCGCAATTATGACACTTCGTCTCGCAATTGACTTTTTTTTCCGTAATCATGACTTTTTTCGCAAGTATGACTTTTATTCTTGCAACAGACTTTTTTCGCAGTTATGACTTTTTATTCGCAATTAACTTCTTGCAATTATGACTTTCCCGCAATTGACATTTTTTTCTCACAATTATGACTTTTCCGTAATTTTTTTTTTTTCTGAAATTGACTTCTCGCAATTGACTTTTTTCTTCACAATTATGACTTTTCTGTAATCTTTTTTTTTTTTTCAAAATTATGACACTTCTCACAATTGACTTTTTTTCCCACAAGTATGACTTTTCTTCTTGCAACTATGACTTTTTTCGCAGTTATGACTTTTTATTCGCAATTTACTTTTTTTCTTGCAATCCTGACTTTATTTCTCGCAATTCTGCTTTTTCCCCTCACAATTCTTTACCTTTCATTCCCTGTTTCAGAGCTCTTCCTCTGTGTTTTAGTTTCGCGTGTGGGCATTAGATGTTCCTCTATATAAAGCGGATCTGTAGGCGGACGCAGTAGGTGGCAGAGAGAAAAGAGCGATGGAGAGAATGAGACGGAGTGGGAGTGATTTTCTTTTTACCACAGTTTTTTTTTTCTAAACTCTTTCAGACTTTTTTTTTTTGCTCTTGCAGAATCTCCAACATGAGATTCAGAAGCCAAACCACTCGTATGTTATCTGGTCAATTCCAGACGAAGCGAATCTCACCCACGCAGACTCTTATGTAAGGATGTGCACTTTTTACTGCTTTCTCTATTGGAAATGACACTAACGTGCCTTTTTGAATGATTTGGCACATTTATTTTTTGCATGTTTGCACTGAGGACGGTGAAATCAATCACAGTCAGCATTCAGCACAGCAACAACATCTGAATTGACAATAGTCAAATTATGAACAAATGAATGGTGAGGCTTAGAGGTTTTGGAGAATTTAAACATGTTTGCTTTGAAGTAACCACTCATTTTTATATATATATTTTGGGAAATCAAAGGTCAGTCCTTTCCACTGGTTTCCATTGATCGAGGAGAATGTGATGCCCTTTTTGATCGGTTTAGCACTTGGGCATAAAGCTGCAGGAAAACGCACACATCCGACAGTAACATCTCTCTTTCTGTCTCTTTCTTTCTCTCTGTTGTTGGATCTTTGGCAGGAACTTTGTGTTTTTTTCAAATGTCTATGATGAATTTCACAAAACTTGTCGAGAACTCATCCAGCTCGTATTTAAAACCATTTATTTTGAGCCATTTGAACATTAATTTTTTTTTTTTTTTGCACTGTGAAATAATTCTATTTCAAGTTTCATATTTTTCCTCTAAATTCTTATTACTGTAATGTGTTTGGATGTTTTACTTATGTATATATGATGTATATATATTTTTTATATTTTGTAGTTTTTTTGTTATGCTCAATGATTATTTTCATTTGAATTCTCATTAGCAAAAAAAACTATTTATTTATAGAATTTAAACACCACATTTGTATTTGTAGTAGCTGTTTTGTTTTTTGTAATGAGGTTGCAAATGAAAATCATCATTGAGAATAATGGAAAATACAAAAACAACATACAGCTATTATATATAAATAATTTACGTTTATCAATATAATTTTAATGTAAAAATATAGTTAATGGTCCTAAACGTGGGATGCATTTTCTTCAGACTATATATAATTTTTTCTCTACTTTGATAATGATTTTCATTTAAATTCTTATTGTACAAGTATTTATAAGTATTTAAGCACCATAGTAGTGTATATATATATATATATATATATATAATTTGTAATGATAATTGAAATGAATACAAAAACAAAAGTAGATCAAAAGTAACAAATACAACTACATTGTATAAATACATAATTTGAGTATATCAATATTTTTTATGAAAATTGTCTTAGTGGTCCATAAAGTAGGATACATTTTCTTTAGGTAAAATATAATTTCTTATTTCCCGGTGTTGATGATTATGATTTTCATCTAAATTTACATTGCAAAAAAAAAAAAGAAAGAAAAGAAAATATTTATACATCATAATAGTATTGTACCTTTTTGATGTACTTTGTTTTATTATGATTATTAATTGTATTATGATTATTAATATTATTATGTAATGAGATTTTAAATGAAAATCATTATTGAGAATAACGAAACTTCAAAAATAACAAATGCAACCATACATACTTAATTATAAATACTTAAATAAATACTAATAATTTTTGGTCCTGGGTTGCATTTTCTTTACGCTAAATATGATTTCTTATTTCTCTCTTTTGATTTTATGGTGAAATATTGACGCAGTCGTGGGCTTGACAGGTTTTGTGAGATTCATCTGCAAACATATTCATGCATTTCCACGAACAACAGCCGAATAGAACAAAAGTGAAATCTGAGAGTATTTTATTCACTGTTGTAAATGTTTGTTGTGATTTTAGAAATATTTCGTTTCATCAGCTGATCGTTTTAATTGGAACTGAAATGAATTTATTTCATTCTGATTCATAACTGACAAATTTGACCAATAAGCTTTAATCTGTTCGCCGGTGGAGAAGAGGCTTATTTTTGTTGATTCATGTAGATTTGCAGATTTTAATATATTTAAAATATCATATTAACTTAAATATTTTCTTCTTTTTGCCATTTGTATGCTCTTGTATTTGTACTTCCATTTAATGCAAGTCATTTTTGACTTCTTCAGACAATATCTCTGTTTAGGAATATGTGATGCTTTTTCTTCTCTCATCTTGAAACGTTGACCGAACGTTTTAATTGCATCTCAGATAATGTTTTGTGTTTTGTGTCCAAAAATGGTGCCAGTATCATCTCTGAAATGATTTTATTAATACTGTAAGATACACTCTGAACGGACCAAAAGAGCAAAATCATGACTGCTTTATTAAATAGGTTGTGGTCCATTTCATTTCATGTATTAGAATGTTGTTCTGAGAATCATATTTATTAACAATCTTACATGTGATCAACAAAGTAGATCAACCGTGATTTTATTTTTTATATTATTGTTGTTGTTTTCAGTCATTGGAGGATAATGTATTTGTGCAATAACTTTTTGTTTGTTTGTTTTTAACCAGAATTAAAACTATCTATGACTTTATGGGGAGATTATTTTAAAGAAAATGTCTTGTTTTACAGTATAAATATATAAACATTCTTAAATCAAGATGCATTCTTGAGAAGCAAAAGATAAGTCTTGTTTTCTGAAAAATGTATGCTTAAAACAAGAATGCTAATGTGGTCAGAAAAATAAACTTAATTCAAATGGAAAACAAGATTATTTTTCTTACCCAGTTGGAAAATATTTTTATTTTGATTATAATTTTTTTAAAGTAAATGTGTCTTGATTTAAACACCATAATGCATTTATTCAATTTGAATGCTATTTCACATTCTGGACCAAAAGAATAAAACAGTCATAACTTAATATTTTTCTACTAAAACCATATTGTGTCTGATCAGCAGCTTCTCATTGAGTAAATGTGAAAAAAAATGATGCAAAATTTCTATATATTTTTGTCGATATTGATATGAATTTTTATGTGAATATATCATTGTATAAAATTTTTAAGAACAAATAATCAGGCAATTACTGTATGATGGAATTTAATTCTCACGATTGCTCAAAAACCGTCCAAATTTATGAAACCTACAAATTTATTTCTAACAAAACAATGCAAGTTTTCAAACATTATAAATTCATTTTACTTGCCTAAATTTTCACTTTCAGATGAAAAAGTGATCAGTTTTTCATGCTGCAGTGGTTCATCAATAGAAGTAAAATATTCATGTTTCTCAACAAATTTTTGTGGCAAAGTGTGTGAGATCTGGAAAAAAGGCTAAATATATTTTACAAACATTTTTTGATAGTAATATAACGCTCCGGTTACTCGCGTAACCTCGGTTCCCTGAGATAAGGGAAACGAGCGTTGCGTCGTCTTTTGACGACTTGTATGGAGAAACCCCTGTTTACTCTGTTACCTGATTTGTTAACGTTTGTGTAGCTGCACAAACCAATGGCGCTCGAGCCCGCCAGAGTGGGCGGAGCCGACTGCTATATAAGTTGGCCCGAAGCACCATTTCATCAGAATCAATGACTGAAGCGACAGCCATCGATTCGTGTGCAGATATACCACGGCTAGTTACGCGACGCTCGTTCCCTTATCTCAGGAAACCGAGGTTACATGAGTAACCAGAGCGTTCCCTATCCAACAGTAGCTGCACGGATCTCAGGCTGCCTGGCGGACATCTCGGCATGCATGAAAGATCATCACCTCCAGCTCAACCTGGCAAAGACTGAGCTTCTTGTCTTCCCTGCCACTCCAACTCT